TTTTAAGTTCTCTGCCTTGGAAGGAGGGCAAGGCCCTCTCAACACACCGGTTTGGGGCTGCCTCTGTGAGACCCTATGGGGCTGTTCAAGTTCCCATAAGATCCTACAAAAGCATCCCTACTCGTCTTCCAGAGCCAACACATCAAGAATGCCTTGCCTGGCAAGCAATGTAGAGAGCTTAGAAGTTTTTTTGCGATGGTTTTTGGAAGGCTAAGGGTCTCATGCAAGATCTCATGGGAGCTCGGACAGACCTGCAAGATCTTGCAAGAGCACCCCAGAGCTCTTGGCCTTGCCTCCAAGCAAGATGCAGAACTTAAAAGCTTTCGTTCCACTTTGCTTGTATTTAACTTGCAAAATTTCAACCAGCTGGTCTTCAGTTGTATGTGGTTGAAATCACACAAGTTAAATGTGCATAAGATGTGATTGTTTGCTACATTTTAAAACACTGTGGCAGCAACTTTATACTTTGACTCTATGGAAAACTGTAGAAACAGTTGGCTACTTTCAACTACTGTAAGTGATATTCAGAGTATACCTATTGAAATCAATGGACTTGATCAACTTAATTCCATTGATTTCAGTTGGTCTACTCTGAATATGACCGCTAGGACACCATCCAATGCTATTATTTTCCAACCAAAGTGAAAGGGCACAATTTAGAGGAAAAAATGAGCAATTGTATTTGCTGACTTCCACAGAGGAATCGCCCAGCTCTCTACCACTGAAATCATTAAGGTTTGGAGCCAAACTATATAGGATGCTAAATGTGTCTTTGCATGTAAAGGTTTTTCTGAAATTGCTGCCAGTGGAGGGATTCTTCCCAACATAAATAGCAGCTTTGAAGGAGCATTTTTTCTTTGTCACAACCACAGCAAGTGAGGAAAGGGTTAAATTGCCTACCCACCTGTCTGCCTCAGTGGCAATAATTTGAGGCCCTCCCAGTAGCTGCTATTTAGGATTTAGGAAAACAAAACCTACATGCTAGATGCAAAGACTCATATAAGGTCACATCTAGTTCAAAAGGACTTAACTTCAGCTAGATTCTGTGCAAGGCATCTGCAAATCTGCAGCCCACTATAATTGGTGGAGCCTTATTCACACCCTCCTAAGTAGGTCTGAAAAAGGTGGGCAGTGGTTTCAAAATGTATGGTCGGACTTTGCTTTATAAAACCTTAGGAAAACAGAAGGGATTAGAAAACACATAGGAAATGATATCATCTGTCAGGCGGAGTAGGAACTTAAACCACAAACTGATTTCAATTAGAGTAAAGCAAGCCAAAAACTAACTTCCATTCCCACATTTATTACCAAAGGCTTTTAAATGCTTTGAGATAATAAGTTTAACGGTAGCTTAAGTGCAGAGCTGTCGTTGTTTTACCTTACTTTTTTCCCCAAGCTACAGGCTGATAATATTTCTTCATCTTAGTCTTATACGCAACTCTGCAATGCGGGACTGCGGGTGAGAGGGTACCCTATTCTGCCTTAATTCATTTTCCAAAGGAAATTATTTCTCATGCAGTCTTAATTATCTGGCAGACTAGGAATGCAAATCATCGTTTTTATTGGAATTGTTTTTAAGGCCTGAGTGGGGCTGCATGGACTCACCAGTGTTGAAGCTTTCTACAGCTTTCCTTTTCTTTTACATTGTGGCAGTGGGAGGGAACCTAGGGTTCAAGGGTGAAACGTGCCCCCCCCTCGGGCCTCTTTATCAGGCCCCTGGGACTCTGCCCAGGCCACACAAACCTCCCTCAGCCACGTCCCCTTTCCCTAAGCAACATCCCACCCAGCTTTGTTTCAAAGTCTCCTTGAGTGGTTTTGCTTCCTTCATTGCATTTCCAGGCCAGCTGTGGAGGAAGAAGTTCCTCTTCCTCCCTGGCCAGCATGGAAACCAGGAAGTCTGGAAGAGGAGTGACGGCAACCCTTCCTCTGCCAGCCCATTCACTCACCCACATGGAATTCCCTGAACCCACCTTCCTGGAATTCATGCCACCTTTGATGTTACATACAAGGCTGCATGAACAGATCTAAACTAGGTCCAACCATCATAGATGTATCCAACAATGGTATGGATGATGACTGTTTACGTAACTAAAAGCAAAAGGAAAAAAAGAGAGTGGGTGCAATGGAATTGATGCGAGTATTCTGCATTCAGCCATCTGTACGGAAATTTGGGCAATTCTTCAACAGCAACGCATTGCGTTTGCTGTCAAAACTGCTTGCAACCCAATCCAATGCATGGCTATTCAGAAGTAAGTCGCATTGTTTTCAACAAGGCTTAAGTGTGTTTAGGATTGCGTCCTTAAATATCTAAAGGCAGCTGAGAGTACTCTATAGAATGGTACCTTGGTTCTAAAACGCCTTGGTACTAAAACGCCTTGGTTGGTTCTCAAACGCCAAAAACCCAGAAGTAAATGTTCTGGTTTGCGAACGTTTTTCGGATGCTGTACATCCGATGCGGCGTCGCCTATTGTTTCCAGGGCGCCTGCACCAATCAGAAGCCACGCCTCAGTTTTTGAACATTTCAGAAGTCAAACGGACTTCCAGAATGGATTAAGTCTGGCGCTTTTGTTTTTGCTATTTATTTTGCGTTTTTGTTTTTGAGGCTTTTTCGGTTAATTTGTTTTGTGACTGTATGGAACCCAGTTCAGCTACTGATTGATTGACTGTGTGACTATCAGCAGTACAGGTAAGATTTTTTAAAAAAATTTATCACCTACAAAACTGTCTTATTTATTTTATAGTACAGTACATTGATTATTGCTTTCATTTTATGGATCAGTGGTCTCATTAGATAGTTAAATTCAAGTTAAATTGCTCTTTTAGGGGTTGTTTTTAAATGTCTGGAATGGATTAATCATTTTGCATTACATTCTATGGGAAAGAGCACCTTGGTTTTGGAATGCTTTGGTTTTGGAACAGACTTCTGGAACGGATTAAGTTTGAGAACCAAGGTGCCACTGTATTTGCAAATGAAAGCATCGATTGGTCAGAAAGAACATGAATGTTCAGGTGTGTTCTTCCAATAAGATGGCTTCAGAAGGCTTTAAATGGAAAGTGGCTAAATTCACTGAAGGAAGGTCTATAAATAGGTAACGGCAGCTGCTAAATGGATCACTGAGGAGCAGAGGCAGTATACCTCTGAATATGAGCTGTTGGGAGGAACTACAGAGGTGAGTAGGTAAAAAGGTAAAGAACCCCTGGACGGTTAAGTCCAGTCAAAGGTGACTATGGGGTAGGGGCACTCATCTCACTTTCAGGCCAAGGGAGCCAGCGTTTGTCCACAGACAGCTTTTCGGGTCATGTGGCCAGCAGGACTAAACCGCTTCTGGCACAACAGAACACCGCAACGGAAACCAGAGTGCACAGAAACGCTGTTTACCTTCCCACCACAGCGGTACCTATTTATGTACTTGCACTGGCGCTTTCGAACTGCTAGGTTGGCAGGAGCAGGGACAGAGCAATGGGAGCTCACCCCATCGCAGGGATTCAAGCCGCCAACCTATTGCCTTCATGTCCTGGTTGTGGTCTTCCTGGAAATGTTTAATTAGCCACTGCTGAAAACAGGATGCTAGAATAGATGGACCTTTGGCCTGATCTAGCAGGGTTCTTCTAACTTTCAAGGGAGGGTGCCTCCACAATCTCTTTGAAAAGCTTCAGGAAGAACCAAATTGCCAAAAAACATCTGTGAGGTCTAAGGATATGCAGAGGAGGGTCCGGAATGTTTTAAGGCATCCAAAGCTGTCTTCGCCAGCCATGTGTCAGTGTTGAGATTCAAGGAAAGAACAGATGTGAAGTTTTAAGCAGCTTGGGCTGTTGCTTAGTTTAAGGAGGGGGGTGGTATTTCTACTACTTTTTATTTATCAATGAATCGCTGGAGAGGTCTGTGATTGAATAACAAAGTAGAAGAAATGCTTCATTCTGCCAGAAGCATTCATACATGGGGCCGTTCTGACAATAACAAGAATGGAACAAATGAGATTTCAGAGGACTTGCACTTACAAGTTTCAGTCTAGTCCAGAGGTTCTCAACCTGTGTGTCCCCAGATGTTGTTGGACTACAACTCCCATCATCCCTGAGCTCTGGCCTTGCTAGCTAGGGGTGATGAGAGTTGTAGTTCAACAACATCTGGGGACCCACAGGTTGAGAAAGGCTGGTCTAGTCACTCTTGAGAGGAAAGCGTTATCATGAACCCCCAAGGAGATGTCCTGGCTAGGCTGGTCAGATCAAGAAGCTGAGTGGGAGGAGTTTGAGGGGCTGGAATCAGATGATCCCTAGGAAGGGCCTATTGGGCTGGGCCTCATCTGGTCTTCAGGAAGTTTCAGAGATGTCTGGGGAGGCGGGAGCCCAGGGGGCATGTCAGTCATTGGATCAATGTCTTAGTCATGCATAGCATGTGCCTTCACCCAGGTGATATGCAATAACAATGTAAGGCAGTAACATTGGACGGCTGAGCTCAGTGCAGTGTGGGAATAAAAAAGGCTAGGCAGGAGAAAAGTATATGAACTCTCCTCTCCAAGAGCTCACACGTTTGCACAGTCCCAGCAAGCAACAGTTTGGCTTACAGCATTGTGCAAACCATGCCAGTATTGCAGTTCATTACATCTTGAGAAATTTTTGGAATTGTGGTTTTATTCAAGGACACAGTGAGCTCTAATCTCAGCTTTTGTTGGAGAACTATCAAAACTAGTTGCCAGATTAAAAAAAGAAAAGAAAATGCTGCTAGTACCCCAAAACAATTAATGGGCTTTAAAGGGAACTTTGGTTTCCTAGTTTTCATTTTTGCTGGTGGATATCTCACAAAGGGTAGGAGCATTGCATAGGCCCGTCTAATATGCCTTGCAAATGAATAAATGAGGAAAGCAAGTAGCCTACACAATGCTTGAAACAAAAGACACTGCCTTATAGTGAGTAAGATCATTGTTCCATCTTACTCAGGTTTTCCTTCACTGACTGGCAGTGGCTCTTTGGGATTTCAGAAAAAAGTATCTCCCAGCTCTACCTAGAGATCCCAGGGATTGAACTTGGAACATTCTGCATGCAAAACAGGTGCTCTACCACTGAGCTATGGCCCTTCCCTTTCAAACTCTCAATCCCTGCTAGTTTGAGGTCTGGTAATAGACACAACCCATGTTGCCTATAGCTGGGGATTAGTTCTGTCCTGAATGATGCTGCTATTATTTTACTTGTTACAAATGCTGACCCTGATTTTTACTCCCTAATCTCATGCTATTTTATGAACCCACTAAAAATAATATAGGCCAATTCCAAAAGAGCAATGCCACTGACAAGGAAGGAAGGAAGGGCAATTAATACAAAATATCTACCGGTAAATGCCAGGTCATTTAACTCTCACAAAAAGCCATCCTTGTCTGCCTTTCCTGGTGGTTTCCCACAAGGGCATTCACAGAAAAAGCAAGAATGAAATATCTAGCACCTCTTTTTTGTCTCAATAATTTAGACTTCTGTTGCAAGCAGGACCAATTTTTCAAAAAGTATATAGCATCTGGAGAGCCAAATGCAATTGCCAATACTTGTATAGTATTTGTTACTTTTAAAAAATTGCCATAAGGAATGTCTGCAAAAGCTAGAACCCAAGATTCCTTTAGTTGTGGTAAATGATTAATACTGAGTCAGTGTTTAGTTGTCTGAACTACCAAGTTACTTTCAAGTTAAAACACACCACACTGCCAATTCAAGAGCGTAAGAATAATCTAGCCCTAGAAAACATACCTGACTTTGAGCCACAGGACGGGGCGATCTGGCCACTTGGACATGTGCACATGTTCGGTCTTGAGCAAAATCCATCTCCACAGGAATGTCTACAGATTGCTGTAAGGGAAGAGAGGAAAAACCCAAAAGGGGTATAAGCAGAAAAACAGATTTTAAGCAGGTTAGCATGCACTCTGATGGTTTTTAGGCACTAATCTTGAATGGTTTACAGCCACTAATCTGTCCGTGGGTGACTGAGGCTCAAGACTACACCTTCAAAGTGCATACAAAGCAGAGATTTGCCCACAGAGAATTCTGGGCACTGCAGTTTTTAAAGTGTTGGTGGGAACTGTAACTTTGCTAGGAATAAACTACAGAGCCCAGAATTCTATGGGAAGGGCAGAGAAATGTGCCTTAATGGCATAGTGTGTATGCAGCTTGACATTCAATGGCACTTCATTGGTCCTAGGGTCAATCCCCACATATCTGCAGTTTCACATATCTGCAGTTCTGTACACTTCAGTAAAAAGAAAGGGGTGTTGTGCAGTGTAGAAATGATCGTGGTGGGGTTGTTTTCGTTCCAGATCTGATATGCTAAACTAACTCTTACATCCATTTTGAAAAGTTTTGCCATTTCCCCTTACCCCCATGTTTACAAGTGTCATCATATACAAAAGCATGGTCTGAAAACTATAAGCAGGATAATTAACCCCTAGGAAGTTTGTATAGCTGAAATATACTTGGAGTTGAGTGTGAATTTCATGCTCTTTATTCAGCTCATAGTAGCAATGAATGAAACTTTCCCCAAAACTTCTAGCTATATATAAATTATTTACACAATGGCCCCCGCGTGATTGGCTAATTCCGGGCTGCTCCTGGAGCTGGATTGGGTGGCTCCTGCGGACCAGTCAGGCTGCTGCATTCTGGATCCTATTGTTCTAGGATTTGGCTCAGTACATAACAATAGCGCTACTTCAACTGTGTTTTATAAGAATGCCCTATGGAACAGTTGAGCGTGCCTTTTGGTTGTGCAATGGACGACTATATACTGTCATGGTTGCTGGCTGATCACTCCTTTATTACCTGGTTCAGCTAATTGGCTTTGACTGAGAAAAACATGGTCAGATGTGCCCTTTTAATGAAATTCAAATACTCATCATTCCACTGAGGTGTTATTACAAGCCGGAGGATCTGTAGTATTAATGGTGAAGAAGGCACTTTTGCAGAGGTGCTTGCCAGAGGATCCATCAGGGGTGGGTGAACATGGCTAACCCTTTTGAGTGTTAGTGTTACCCTTTTCTGAACCTTTTCCAGGTCCTCAACATCCTTCTTGAGGTGCCAAGGGCGACACTGATAAAGCTAAGTTACACTTGCAGTGGATTACCAGATGGGAGAACGTAAGGGATAAATGCCAAAGTTGGGAAAGGCTGCGTTATGTTTAACACTTTCAGTGTGAGAGCCCTTGCATGAAGGCTATAAGTGTCAGGAATGGTGTGCCACGTTTGCCCACTCTTGACTGATCCACCAGTGAGCACTTCCTTACCCAAGCTCCTATCTAACCATTAATGCCACAGATTGTGTGGGTTGCAATAACACAGCAGAAGTATAATGTCGAGAAACAACTCTGAGAAATGTTTCTTGTAAAGCAGGGCAAATGGCTGAGTGTTGCATGTTTTTGCTGGATTGCAAAGAGTTCTTCTTGGCCTCCTACTTACGCTCCTATGTGTGTAGCTGCAATTGCCATGCCGAGGCTGTTTGACGCACCTTCCATATGACAACCAGCAGGAAACAGACTAGACCACAGACCAGGGGTGGGGAGCCTAAGGCCTGAGGGCCAAATACAGCCTCTTCCAGGCCTATCTTACCCTCAGGACTCTCTCCAGGCCTGCTTTCACGTGGTTAGAATGTAACCTACTTTACAAAGGTAAGAATCACATATAATTTGATGTAACCCAACCTGGCATCTTAGGGTGGAGGGTATGTGTTGTTTGTTAACAATGGCCTGTTACCTCGCCAGCTTTTGCCTCTGGCCTCATCCAACACTAGCATGTGGACCCCTGAGGTTCCTCATAAGCGTATGTGGCCCTCAGGCTGAAAAAGGCTCCCCACCCTTGCCATAGAATGGCAAGGAAAAAATGAAAGCAAATGAAATGACAGGAGGGATTTAGCTATGTTTGGGGCAAAACAATAGCAAGCATTTCCTCTATTACGGATTCATTGTTAAAACCGTGTTTATGGAAGACAATCTTACTCGGCTACGAGTGATCGCCAAAGAAGAAGAGGAGAAGGAGTATGGATTTGACATCCCGCTTTATCACTACCCGAAGGAGTCTCAAAGTGGGTAACATTCTCCTTTCCCTTCCTCCCCCACAACAAACACTCTGTGAGGTGAGTGGGGCTGAGAGAGAAGTGTGACTAGCCCAAGGTCACCCAGCAGCTGCATGTGGAGGAGCGGAGACGCGAACCCGGTTCACCAGATTACGAGTCTACCGCTCTTAGCCACTACACCACACTGGTATCTGAAATAAAGAGCAAAGAATGACTTACGGACTATGCACTGGTTTCCACCTGGTAATGTTTTCCATCCAGGACAACAGTAGGCATTGTAACGTGATCCACATACGTTGGGTCTACAAGATGGATACAAATGAGATTAGCTCTCTGTCATTGCTACGACAAGCATTAAGCATCTCTGCTAACAAATGGTAGGCTTAGAGGAAGGGCAAATGTGTTAGTGAGGCTACAGGTGCACTTCAAATGCTATCATATAATGTTCATGGTGATGTTTCACATGTTTTTACATCTGCCTGACAGCTTACCTTCCCTTCTCCTCCTGAATCGTTTCGATGGAGGAGAGGCACCACTGAAGAGAGAAAAAACCTGAGAGGGAAGGGAAGCAGTTTTTCAACAGGGACAAAACTCATCCTCCTCCTGTTGTTGTTACACATGCATCCACCTCCACAGAAGCCACAGAGGGAATATCAGCTGACCCCAAAAAATCATATTAATGTGCAGACCATTTTAATGGGTCCACCCACAGACATTAGCTTAGATGGCTTTTTTTAAAAAAGGACAAATTATCATTATTAATTCCATTTATGAATCGCTTCCTATGAAGCATTGCAAAACAATTTCAGAGCACAATAAAAACATACATAAAAACTGCATACATAAAAACCATTCAGATACAATGCAGACCTTGGCTGAGATAAAAAAAAAAAAAATCTCCACTCAAAAGGCTTGTTGAAAAAGAAAAGGTCTTCAACAGGCATGGGAAGAAAATAGAGGTGGTGCCTGTCTCAGAGGGAGCTCCCATGGGTAGGTGCCACCACACTCACTAAAGGCCCTGTTCCTACATTGAGCAGAACGGACCTCCTGGTAAGATGATATTTTCAACATGCCCTCTCCAATGGAACACAGGGATCAGTTGGGTATTTTGTATGGGACTTTGAATACTAGTGCAGTCACCTTGAACTTGGTACAGCAGCTAATTGGCAGACAGTGCAATTCTTTCAGAGATGGTGTAATATGATAGCAATATTCTTTTTGCACCGGCTACAGTTTCTGCATCAGCCTGAAGAAAACTCCTACACAGAATGCAATCCAATCTGAGAGCTACCAGCACACAGAGGATAGTGGTCAAACTATCCTGGTCCAGAAATTGCCATATTGGCTCCCAGTACTTTTCCAAACACAATTCAAAGTGTTGGTACTGACCTTTAAAGCCCTAAATGGCCTCAGCTCTGTATACCTGAAGGAGCATTTCCACCCCTGTTGTTCAGCCTGGACACTGAGGTCCCGCTCCAAGGGCTTTCTGGTGGTTCACTCACTGTGGGAAATGAGGTTACAGTGAACCAGGCAAACGGCCTTCTTGGTAGTGGCACCCACCCTGTGGAACGCCCTCCCATCAGATGTCAAGGAACAATACAACCTTTAGAAGACATCTGAAGACAGCCCTGTATAGGGAAGTTTTTAATGTTTAATGTTTTGTTATGTTTTTATATATGCTGGAAACCACTCAGGGTGGCTGGGGTACAAATATTATTATTATTTGGGCCTCTACCTTACAGAGACAGTTCCAAGAGCACCCCCACACTATGAATCTGTTCCTCTGGGGGGAGGATGATGCCATCCAAAGCAGGAAATTGACCAATTATCAGGATTTGGGGACTGCTCACCATCATGCCAGAATTTGGCCATCACCCAGCCAACAGGCACCAGCCCAGGGCTTCCAAGGCCTCTTCCAATTCAGATGTTACTGATAAATTATGAAACTTCACCCCAAATCTCCTGCTCCCAATGGCTTAATGTAGATGGTTAAACAGCACTGGGGCCAGGACAGTATTCTGCAACACCCCACAC